TTGTGCAGCTTGAGGGCTTGTGGATCTGCCACGGGCTGGGCGAGAAAACTCCACTTGGCAGACACAGTGGCTAGTTCCCAGAACCCCTCCAAGATTCCAGTCATAGGGTCTCCACCTAGATGAAAGCTACCTACACAGAAGCTGAGATACAGAACTCAATGATGAAACACTCCAAGCAGCCTGCTGATATCAGGAACAAGACCAAGATGGTGGCTATTGTTGCTTCTCCTTGCTGTAGTCCTGCAGTTAGTCTAAGCCGGTGCAATTGGATGAGAAAATGAGAAAAAGCATTCAGGGTCACTTTTTTCTCTTTTTTCTGTGGTGCTGATGATTGAAGCCAGGTCCTTGTGCACGGTGGGCAAACACCCTCCTGCTGAACTCTACCCCCAGCTCTCAGGATAACCTTTGATTAATAATATTCTCTAGGCTTTTTTTTTTTTCTTTTCTTTTTTTAACTTTCTGCAAAGCTTTATTCCAGGGGCTCAGTCCTTCTTGGCAGCTGCCTTCCTCTTGGCGGCCAGCATGTTGCTGAGCTCCTCATGCTTCTCCTTGGTGCGGGTGTGCGTCCCCGCCCTTTTCTTGATGAACTTGAGGGCGCGCTTGTCCTTGGAGACCTTGAGCAGCTCCATGGCGCGCCACTCATAGCAGGCGAAGCCGCACACCTCCCGGATCATGTCCCGCACGAACTTGGTGTGTTTGGTGAGACGTTCATGATGGCAGCTGTGCCTTGGTTTGCTCACATTCTTAGCTACGTTGTGGCCCTAGTTGAGGTCCACGGCCATGGGATAGCAGAGGGCCATGGCTACTGTTCTTTGATGGTTGCTGTGGCAGAATATTCTCTAGCCTTAAAAAGAAAAAGAAGGGGCCAACAAGATAGCTCGACAGACTAAGGAGCCTGCTTAGGCAAGCTTAGGTAAGGGCAGGGACCGAGGTTCAATCCGAAGCACCACATGCTGCACCAGCCTCATCCCCAGGACAGGCTAAGCCAGCCATGGGGGGAAAAAAGTCAAAAATTCTATGAACACACACCCAGCTCTATGCATCATAGAGCCTCCTTCAGTGTCTATCTCCAGGATGTAGAACTCGACAGCTGAAACTACCCAAACAGCTCCACGCCAGAACACAGCAAAAACCTCGCAGGATCTGCATCTAAATCCCTCATAGCCAGCGAGCCAGATAAAGGTGCCATCCAGGCCATGGCAGGACAATATCTGAGTCAATATCTGAGTCCTTCACACGCGCTTTCCTTTCCAGCATGGCCAAGCTTCAGGAATGCCTACTTTCAGCCTCAGCCCCGGGCTGTTTCCTGCTGGCCTGAGCCAATCACAGTCAGTGGTCCCATTTCCTTTCCCAGTTACTGAATTCCATTTGGGCACCAGAAGCAATTCTCAACTATAAGATAGAAAGCAAGGCAGCTATTAGAAGAAAGTTCTGCATCTTCCTTGTTCTTTAAAGGACATGGCGGGTGATCTACTTCCTGCTTGAGGATCTTGTGTGGCTGGACTGATGCTCCAAGTGGCTGTGGCCAAGCTTTGTTGAAGGCAATGAGTTTGAGGACAAAAAGACAACAGAATAGAAACAGAAAAGCCCAGTAGCACTTGCTAGTAAGCCCCCTGAATTAACTAACCTTGGACTTCCCTGAGAGGGTATCCTTATTATTGATTCATCTTTAAGCCAGGTTTTGTTATTTGGAACAAAAAGCAGCCTCAATAACATGTGGATTTGTTTTGGCTTTTTTAGGCAGAGTCTCTATCTAGATCTGTAGTTCAGGTTGGCTTAGAACTCATGGCTGGCCTCCTGCCTCAGCCTCCCAAGTGCTGGGATTACACGCGTGCACCCCCATGCCCAGCTAACACATGAGATCTTCTGCCTGACAATATTTGGGAACTCAAACACCATCAAGTGTCAGTACATAGGCAGGACTTGACATTTTGTCTAATTTGAAAAAAAAATACAATAAATAATACAATAATCTGTAGAAAGATATAGAGCCTGTGGTGGTGCACACCTGTAATCCCAGCATTCTGGAAGGCTGGGGCAGGAGGATCTCAAGTGCACCCTGGACCATTTAGTGACTTAGTAAGATTATCTCAAAATTTTAAAAATGGCTAGGGATGTAGCTCAGTGTGAAGATCCTAAATTTAATCTCCAGTATGGAAAAAAGAAAGTAAAGGTTCTGGGAACTTAATGGCAATCCAAAGAGGAAACATTCCTGCATTCCTCTCCTTTGCCTTCTTTAAAATGTGTTGAGGATCACTCATTAATAAGTTCTTATAATGAAGAAAAAATGAGGGAAGAATGAACCCAGGAGCTCGCTCACAGGTGACACGAGTAGCACGGGGCAGTCACAGGCATCCACTTACTCCAGAGTTGCTGAGGCAGCTGTCAGAGTGGGCACGCACCAGCCACAGGGCAGGTGGGCAGGGATACACATCAGTGGGGGAGCAAAAGGCTTTCTTGCCCAGGACAGCCCACCCTGGGGCAGCACGGGTAAGTTGGCTGGAGAGGACTACAGTAGCAGCCTGCAGACAGGCGAAGCCCTGGCCTAGGAACAGGGTCCCAAGGACAAGGTGCATGAATGCTGGGAGGAGGATGGGGCACCTTCCCGAGCCGAGTGGTCACTAGGCGAAGACTGTGCGTCTTTAGTTCTAGTCTGCATTCCAGCAGGAATAGAGCTGGTGAATGAAAAATTAAAGGCAAAGTGGGGAGAGAGAGTCCTGGGTCCCAACCCCTATTCTGCCACTTGGACTGTTACTTTTTCTCTTTGACCCTCAGGTTCTTTTTCAAATGACACAATCAGCCAGGTGAGCCTTTTCACATTGCACTGTCTTGAACAGGGATGAAGTACCTGGACTCATGCATGCAGGAAACAGGACCAGGGGAATGGGACAACCAGGTTCACTCACTCTGAAGGTCAACTCCAACTCCAGGTAGTTGCTATCTGGAGTACCGCATTAAGAAAAACTGCAAAAAAGAAAAACTGCAAAGTACTTTGAGTTCTGCAGAAAAAGAAAAACAAATCCCTACGATTGGTTGGTGGTGTCTGCTCTGCGCTCAGCAGGCCCACACAGTACTATGTGTGACAGGGATGTGCCATTCCTAGCGCAACAGGATGCTTCTTACTACAGGTGCAGGAATGTGCCAACTGCACAGGGCGCAGATGTTGAAGACTGACTTCTCCCGGGGTCTTCTGTGAAAACAAGTACCAGGCTGGAGTCGCCAGCCCCACACACACTCAGCCACCTGGAGCCAGTCTGCCATTCATCCCCACCCCGCACCGCCATCTCTGCTGCATCTGTCTCCTATGCGTGCCAAATTGTCTTAACTAGATCTCTGATACCTTTTCCCTCAGGTAACACACAACTAGTTTATACAGAACCTCTTTATTTTTTTTTTTAAATTTTTTTGTCTGAGACAGGGTCTCACTATGCAGTTCAGAGTGGTCTTGAGCTCACTTTGTGGCCCAGGCTGGCCTTTGAACTCACAGTGATCTTCTGCCTCAGCCTCCTGAGTGCTGGGATCACAGCTGTGCACCATCACACATGCCTACAATCTCTTGAACCAAGGACAATCTCCCTTTAAAAAACATGGCCCTGAACTGGGGGTATAGCTCAGTGGTAGACCAGCTGCCCAGCGTATGTGAGGCCCCAGGTTCCATCCTCAGTAATGCCAAACAAAAGCAAATGCAGACCAAAGCCCCGAAACAAAACACAAAGTGGTCAGTAAATAACCTTTACTGGGGCCGGGGAAATGGCGCAGTAGAATAAGCGCTTGCCTGGCAAGCGCAAGGCCCTGAGTTTAATCCCCGGTTCCACACACACAAAAAAGTAATAATAATAACCCTGATCATTTTTCTTTACTTTGGCTTTTATTTTCTGTTCCCTAATGCCCTCTTCCCCTCCCAGCCAGGGTTACGACTCTCAGACGGATGGCCACAGTATTGGTAACAGACAGACAGGGGGGTTATTTTACACACTAAGGCACAAGGCAGTGGTACAGCTGGCAGGAAAAAGAGATGTAATTATACTGCATCTCAGAGCTACCAGCAATGAATTTCTGCATAAAAGACTACATTTGCCATGTATTATTTACGCCTGCATCAATTTTCCCAGCTGGCTGTATTTATTGTGCGAATTCTCCTCTGTCTTTATGGGCAAGGCCACGGTTCTGCACCTCTGGTTACTCTGTACTGTGGAAGGGCCCTACAGGGCATCAAGCATATTAAACAAGTGGCTGGATTCACTAGGAGCAGGTCACAGCTGTCTTTCCTGTTAAATTGTACCCTGGGACGGCAGCAAGCCCACATTCTCACCTAGTCATGGTGACGCATGCAGGTGGTGAAACCAAATCAAAAAGAAGAAAGATCACGGGGGAGGGCTCGCTTGGGACACTGAAAAATAACCTTCTGAGGGGAAGTCAGGTGGCTCTGGGGCTCCAGGAATCTCTTTTTCATATTCTGTTAAGAGCTAGGACATAAATGAAGATGTGTTTTCCATTT